TATAAATCCGTTAACACTTTTTTAACAATCCCATAATTATCGAAATTGTGCTTACCAATTTGAATACCTTTAAACATTTATCGAGGTTGGCCATAAAACAAATGCAGTGCGTCTTGCATTGTATGGATCCATTGAAGAACTTTTCTTTATTTGGATAAAACACTCAATGACCACAGGCGAGCTAGAAAGCCGTCCCTTTTAGGTTTCTAGCATGAAACAATTGTATTTTCTTTATTACTATTATTATTTTATCGTAAATAAAGCGAGAACAGCTGCTCGTTGAGGAGTGCGGGGAATCATGCAAGTACATCTTAAATGAATGTTATACTTAGAACGAGCCTGTACGCACCAGTTTGAGCACAATTCAATTCATGCTAAGAGTGAATGGCTCACACGTTGCTAAAAAAAGGTGCCAAACAAAAAGCAATCAGCCGTACAAGCATATTAAGATAGATACGCTTACTCATACAGTAACTCTCCGAAAACGTAGACACATCCGCACCCAGTTGGCTCTGTTGGCCAGACGTCATCTTAACGAAGGTTTGTCTCCCTGACAATTTGCTCGACAACGACGCGGAAATAGGATCAATAAAACAGTTACATCATATCGTATTCATCTATTATTGATACTAATAGATGAACGCGACTGTCTCCTTAAACGGTAACATATTGGGAGTGCTAACGCATCGCGCCGTCGTGGGCGCAGTGGCTGACGGCGATGAAAATTCGTCCGTGTAGGATGCATCCGGTCGGTTTCTCCATTACCATAGCCATGCTACCATGTCAACGCACCGTTAGGCGCTGTCGTTCTCTGCACGATTGATAGAATGCACCCCTTACCAATTCGATGTTCTCGAATCAACGAAAGATCTATTTCTTCAGTCGGAGCCTCGGTCCCATATCCGATAGCTGGATATCATAGTCCATGGGCTTGTTCTAGACCACAAGCATGCATATAGTCCAGTATATGATCAAAGATCTATGATGTAGTTTCTTAGAGAACATCTTGGGCGGTGTTGGGTTGCCAACTTCCCGTCACGAGCGTACGATGGCCATGCACTTTCCGAGAGCCTGAGGATGAGCACCTCACGATAAAGATCCTCACGCACGACTATTGCGAACAGGAGCGAACGAATCGTGCACACAAAGGACTTCGCCTAGAGAGTTCGGAACTCACCCCGCGCACCAACTTCAGTAACGACGATAGCTTCTCTATAGCCATAAATGCCCTACCAGGAACACCTTCAGTGCCTGGCCCCGATCACATAGTTCATCGAACATTTCACAAGTGTTACAATACAAGCGTTCTCTCCCCCTATATATATATATATATATATATATACCTAAAGGGGAGCCGTGGTGCTCGCGGGCTGTCTCGCTCGTCGTCGATTTGAGGACGATCTCTGAGGAATCGCCTCGCCGCTTCATTCACATCATCGTATGTATGCGCCTATACTGATAACTACAAGATGATTTACAATTCTGTGTGAACGAACTTTCGTTTGCAGGAAGTAGCCGTATGGATACTGAAGGTGCCCGTTCGAGTTTCTTAAACACTGTGTGGTGCTTGTCGCTACAGCCACTGAGGAAGAAGCTCCGCTTTTTAAAAAGTATAGCAGTGTGGTACTATTGGCTCGATCATTTGCTGCATGGGAAACTTTCTACGTTAATATTTATTTAAAATGAATGAAGATAGTAATTTACGGTCGGAATGTACACATCGCTAAAAGCTTGTAGCAATTCAACAACGGTGCAATCAT